TAGATAGAAGAGATCGATAGCAGAGACCAGGCTGGGTAAAATACATTTAGGAAGACAAAGCTTTCTTGTGGTCCCAGAGACTCAATTCCAGCCTTGTGTGGGTGGACTATGGGAGGAGATGCTAGTGAGATGGGCAGTCTGTCCTTGGGTTCATAGCTGCAGAAAATAGCGCCTGCAGAGCGAAGGCAGTGAAATGGCACAAACCCAACAAGAGCCTGCCAAAGCTGAAGTTGATCTCAGCTCTGGGCTTAGGATATTTATGTGGTGACTCATATAAAACTATAGTTTTATAAAGATAATAGATAGTCCCGGGGCAGGCTTAGATGCCCCTGCAGCCTAGGGAAAGCCATGCCAGAGCACTGCCATCTCCCAGGATATGAGGGCATGGGATGGGAGAAGGAGCTTCCAGCAAAGCATCTTCTTCTGTGAGATAATCTGGGTGGCTGCCTGTCACCTCCATCACTTCATTGGATGTTGGGGGCTTGGAGATGATGAGCTGGGAATGAAAGCAGGGGTAAGGATATCTTTTGGATCCTGGCTAGAGGGGGAGTGTAGGAGCAGGAAGATGACTTTATAATTGCTTTTTTTATCACTCTTTCTGACTATATTGACTTTATACTTGACACAGCTTTGGCTGGCAAGTGAGGCCCAGATACATTCGGAATTAGATATGACTAGGCTCATTCTTACATGAGAAGAAAATCATCGGTTGCTACAGAAACAGCTCCATATCAGTCTCGTGGGGCATCTTTGCATCTGGCTTTTTTTCCTTCTCTTTTGCTAATCTGTAGATAAGAGTCAAAGCAAGTGCAGCACATCCCACATCTATATAAAAGGTTGGAGGAACTCTGCAAAGTGTGAAAGAACATCTCATAGATAAGCTAAACTTAAATGAATGAGTTAATTTATACCCCCCACAATTTTTTTTTCCTTGCATTGCAACTCTCACTGAGTTAATTGAGGTGAAAATTAAATGGCACCAGTCAGAAAGTGTTTTAAAGACCACCAACATCAAGGAAGAGAAAGAAGGTACTCAGAAAGGGAATTACTAGGAAAAATATAGGAAACGATATAAGGAGTGAATTAGAATCTGTCAAGAAAATTGCATATGGCAATGGAATAATATTCCATGCTCACTTTTAGGCAAGTTGTTTAACATGATAAATTAGGGAATTAGTTAAAAATAAGTGCACATTATGGGTGAACAGGGACCATTCTGCACACTTTAGACCAGATCACCAGATAGGTTTTTCAACCAGTTTTCTAAAATGTAATGAATTCGTGATGCTTAATAGATTAATATTTATTGAGTGAATCAATGCTTAATTTATTAAAAATTTGCCTTCCTTGTATTTTAATATGATTTATTACTCATCAGTGCTTATTGCATTAATTAAAGACTGTGTTAATTTTATGGAAGTGAACACGATCTGCTGCAGGTTTGTTGCAGAGCCCTGCACTGTAGGGACTGTGCCTCTGGATAGTACCAATGATGGAAAAATGCACAAGATGGGAAGCCAGGAGGAATTGCCAATGGCCTCTTCATGCCTTTGGGCTTTCAAATAGCCAGCAAAGTGAAAATGAGGATGCTGCCCCTTAAGGGTAGGACAAGATTGTAGCGCTACAGATGCTGTGATAGAAAGAATCTTCCTGTTTGCCTTGTATACATTATGGCTGTTGCTGTGGAAATCAATTTCATGTTTCTCATGGAATGCCTTTTTGTCAATGTAGGTGAAATGCACAATTAGTGATAAGGGAAACTGTCACATCCCCTCATATCAGGAATGATAGTCGTGTTTTATAGCACTCAGGTAGTAATTCTTAGGACAGGAGGTTGCCTGAAGATCAGGGTAGTCCCAAGCATCTCAACTGGGGTACTCCCAAACATCTCTGCAGGAGCCGGTGTTTGAGAAGTGGAAAATTACTAAAGGCAAAACAAACAAATAATAATAATAATAATAAAAAAAGCCAGACATCTTGAGATGTGTCTTTCAAGAAATCTGTCAAAACAGGGAGAGGGTGATCATGCTGGAGGGGGGCAACAGCTGCAATCTGCATCTTTCAGCATTGAAGGGAGAAGAGGATTATAAAGCCCTACAGCCGTGTTATTTCTGATGCCATTATTTTCTTAATCTTTGACACTTTGTGTAGTGTCTTTCTCTTTAAATCCAAATTCTGTTGCTTTTATAGCTACTCATAAGTGTGCCAGTATGTTGTTTTTTTAAAAAATCCATATAGTTACTAGTCTGCTTGCATCCAGCTGAGCCCTGGAAACTGCAGAGAGCTAACCCCTGAGATGTGAGAGCAGGCTTGAATTTCCGGAAAGTGATTGGATCCATAATTAGTGTATTTTTACATGTTGAAATGCATGATTCTGAAATGCACTTTGCTGTTTCCTCCTCTCCAAGGCTTGGGTGAGTGTGCATAAGCTTCCCTTGCTGTGCTAAATTCAAGAAATCTCTTCAAGGTCTGTTGAAGGTCAGAGCAGAGAAATTTCTTCTCCCTGGGTGCCCTGGTCAGGCAGCCACCACTGAGCTCCAGCCTGGAGCGCTTGGGTGGAGCCAGTGCCAAGAACCTGGTGGCATTTCAAATCCCTTGCAGCAGTTAGGTGTTTGATGCAAAAGATCAGTGCTGCTCCACTTGAAGTCACAGAAATAACTTGTGCTTAAAGTTCAACGCATACACAAATATTTCCTGTGGACCTATATATATATTTTTTCAAGGCCAATTTGAATGCAACATCCTTTAAGAAAAAAAAAAAAGTTTTATATTTTGTTTAGTCTATTCTGTATGCTTTTATTTTTCTTGCAGCATCAAGTTAAGCCACTTAGGTTTTTATTTAATGCTTATTCTAACTCTAATAACCTTAAGTCAGGACTGGGGACCTGTTGAGCTACCTGAATGTCTCTCCATTCAAACAATAGATTTTGCAACCTTTTTTAATGTAGGATATTTATATTCCACCTTTTTTTCCCAGTGGAGAAGCTTTCACAGAGTATAGGTTTTGGATATATGTTTTCTGCTCTAGCTGTTCATTAGATATACATCATTTGGAGTTCCAGTTGTGCCAAGAAAAGTAAGCAAAGGTTCTGGCCCAGTGGGTGCTAAGCCCTGGCATTTCATATCTTTGTACATATAACTCAGGATTAAGGCATGGGATCTATATAAAATTCAACTCATTAGGAGACATTTCTTCTTACGGCTCCCACTGGGGAGGTGGGCCCTTGATTTGCATTATTGCTTACTTTGCTTTGTTGCTCCCTGAGAACAACTCTGGGGTTAGCACACCCCGGGAGAGCAGGGACAGCATTTCTGAGTAGCTCTTGCAGAGGCGACACAAGGCAGTGGGGCAGAGTCCTCTGCTCCCTTTTACCATTAGCCTGGCATGCATAGCTTAGGCTGGCCTTATATTTTATAATAAAGCAAATGTCAAACATGCTGCTAAAGCCATACTCAAAATGCCTCGCCAGAGCTAAGCAAACAGGGAGTACCTATAAAAGCAGACAGGAATGAGGTTTCTCTCTAAGATGGTTTGCATTGCACAAGAGGTAAGGTCCTGAAGGCCAGGAAGGTTTCAGAAAATATTTTTTCAGCCTCACACCCTACTCAGTTTCCCAGCAGGCCATGTTCAGCGTTGGCATGTAACTCAAGTATATTCAGTGGATGATCAGCTGTGTCTGCACGCTTGAGCCAGTGAAGCTTTACTTATAGAGAAATTATGAGTTTAGAAAGGAGTTTCATCAGTCGTAATTTCCAGGGAAGAGTGTTCACTGTAGGGAATACCAAGTCAGTGTTTCCTCCTCAAGGACTTTCAGCTGTCACCGAGGGAATACAGTGAATGTAATGATGAGAATTAGATTAGAAAAAGATCAATAGGGCTGACAATAAATGAAAGTAACACAGACATTATTGAGAAGATTAGGAGAGAGAAATTAAACTGGACAGTATAATCTGAAATGCCAGCTAGACACACTAATGTTGGTCAAAGTTAGGGAGAAGACAGTAAGTTAAAAAAGCGAGGAAGAAGAGGCAGTAAGAATCTAGTCTGCCTGTGAGATGGGGGCTAGCCCTGCCCTGTCCTGCTCTCCTGTGATGGAGAGCACCCTCAGAAAGGTTGAAGGATGATAAATGTCCGTTACGTGTGGATTTCAGTGGAAGGCCGCAGAGATCTAATGGTGGGAGAAGTCTCTTTAGAGTGGAAACATGGAGGAGGTAACAGCTTTTCCTACATGGTAAAGGGGAAGGTGAACCTCTGATGCCCCTTGCCACCATCAAGGCTTTGGTGGCATAGCTTGTTCCAGGGAGGGGAGAAAAAATGTTAGTAGAGGTTGGTTTACCTGTGAAAGTTTGCAGCCATTCCAGAAACCACTATTCTGTTTAAACTTGGTATTTGCCATCACAATCCTTGTATTTTGTGATCTGTACAAATATTCAGTGTTGATCAAGACTGGCAAGCTTTAGGGTGAGGGATATCTGGTGGCAATGAGCTCCATGGGCTAACTGTGCTCGGCATGAAAAGAAGCTTTCCTTTTATCAGTCTTGAGTTTGTCTAGATACCGTTACAAGTCTTTGAAAGGTTTACCCCAAGGCAATGTAATTGTGTTTGATCACATACAGGCTATGAGTCAGTGATTGATATGAATAAAGAACTTAGGGTTTCTTGTCTTGGTTCCTTGTCTCCTTCCCTGTGGAATCATAAACCACTTTTATAAATATATCGGTCCATCTGTGCTTCTAGCTATCCATTTCAAGTATATGCTCCAAAAAAAGAAATAGTAACACTTTATAAGTGCAAATAAAAACACATTAAAAGGACTGAGCTAGTATTTTTTCTTTATTCCTCCTAAAGTACATGTGGATCCCATCCAAAAGAGTTACTGTGAGCCATGTAACTTGTAATTAATTCTGCTATAAATGTCAGAACACTTACTTTGCAGGTCTAAGATGACCGACTAAAATTAGTCCCCTTTTAACAATTCCTTTTATAATTTGTTTTTCAGCAGAGACGGCAGCTTGACCTCCTGACAATAACCAGCCCTGGTAAGTGAGCTCTGCCGCACGGCTCTCTTCTCTTTTCTTAAAGAGGTGGTTGTCTAAATGTGGTGTTTTTTTTCCCCCCGTCTCTGACATGCAAAATGAAAAACACTGTTCCCCAGAAAATCTTTCACATAATAACAAGTGACAGCTATATTGTGCTTGGCAAAGCCCCGGGCAGTTATCCGTTCACAGAGCTGCCTCTTCAGACCTTTACTCTATGAATTTGAGTGCTGATATTTCTTTAAGCCTCCTGGGGTTACAGTTAGAGGTATGTCTGCAGGGCAGATGCCCTCAAATTCACAATGTGTTCTCCAGTATCACAGAAATGTGAGTTTGATTTTCCTTGGTGGCAAATGTGAGCAGTTTGGGGAGCAATGGCATACTGGCCCTCTGTGTGCATGGTAGTGGGAGAAAGGAGGTTCAGGCTTCGTTCTGAAGAATGCCAAAGTGGGTCAAAAAATATTTAGGTAAAATTGAAATGCATTAAACTGCCTTCTCCATAATGGCTTTCTATATTAGCCTGTTGAAGTGATAAAACAAAATGTGTTATACTACAAAAGTGTCGGGCACCTTGGCATCGTGAGTTTGAAGACCTCAGTACTGTGATTAAAATGCAGGTTGTTTGAGAAGTGCTTCTATTTGATCTCTGCTCTTAAGGCTGTGTGGCTATTAATTTATTGTTATTTTTCTGTCTCAGTTTCTTTCCGTAAGCAGTCTCTTCTCAGTTTCTTCTGTAAGCAAACTTACAGAAGTTTGCTGCCCAACAGCTCCAGATGTATGCTGTGCCTGAATGGTGCTATCTTTTGGTTAACTTTTTGGTTTTTCAGCTGTATGTGCATATTAAGCTCTCAGTTTGCCTTTAACTGGGACTAATGAGTTCTGGCTTTAACTGGGAATAATGTGTTAGCGAAATGAACAGGTGTTATGGGAAGTGAACAAAATGTGACACATTTGCTTGGATAACAATTTTGCATCAATAATTGTTCTGACACCCTAAATGTAGATATCATCTGTGACATGGTTTCTCCTTCACTAACCTTGTTAAAATAATAAGAATTAAAATAAGGAGGAGGAACACTTTGTTGGGACAGATGTTTGAGGCTATTGGCAATTGCATCACATTTTTGCATGTTCACTTTTCATGCAGTTTGCAATTATGTTAATGTATGCTCAGGGCACTTGCTGATAAAAGCAACAATACAGTGTGATACAGCCATTGTCACTATTCTGACTGTAACTTCAAGGACAAACATGGCACTTTTTTTTTACATTTTTCATATCTTCGATATTGTCTATTTCTAGAGGAAAAAAAAAGAGAAAAAAAATCGCTGAAGGTCTTAATCATAACAGACACTCAGATCTTGGATAAGGGTACCAAAGATCACCCTTTTTTTTTTCTTTCTTTTTTTATTTCTTTCCTTTCCTTTCCTTTTTTTTTTTTTTTTTTTTTTTTTTTAAGAGAAAAGAAAGGTTGGGGAACAGAATAACCTAATATGAGAAATGTCTGCAAAAGGAATTTATGATACCTTTCTTGTAATTTTGGATAGAGTATTCACTGGAACAATGAAAGGCTGACTAAGCTGAGTTTGTGCATAGGTGTGATTGCAGTAAATAGCTATGCTTCAGATCTTTCAATTTAATGCAGCAACCTACTAAATCAACACAGCAATTAGTTGGAACGACCAAATAGCTAAATTTGAAAGCAGCTTCCAGTGACTGCATTGGTAGATGTGCTGCACTAAAAGGGGGGAGAAAAGCTTTCCACAACATGTTTTTTTTTTTTTTTTTTTTTTTTCTGAAATATAATTTTTACCCCTAGGTATTTAGCCAGAAATAAACAATAATTGGTTACTTAGGGGAAAAATGGTGTATTCACACCACAGTTATTGAATTGAGCTGTTACAACTTTGCTTTCAGTAAGGGCATTTTTGAAAGGAGCCTGGTGTTGGATCAGGGCAAACTTACTTAAGAGCCTAAAGCTGAGATTTTTGAAAGAAGCTAACAGAACAGAGTTAAGCACTTAATTCTTAGTAGGATGAGAAAATATCAGCCTGTGGATTAAAGGGTCTAGTTTGGGCCCTACAAATATCAGAAAAGTAAAAATTAAACAAAATAACAAAACAATGACAAAAACAAAACAAAACAAAACAAAAAACAGTCTTAAGGCTTTTACTGACTTTGTAGATTGTAACTTTTTAATATTTGAGCTTTAGCTGCAAGATCTGACATCAACAGTCTGTTTTTAAAAAGCTGTGGTGTCATTTATGATGGCTGAGATCAGCTATAACCAGTGTAGTCCCTTGATTTAGTGATTCAAATTAGGGACTGGGCTGTCTATTTGCTGCTATTAATCCCTGGGACTTGGTCCTGTGCTCCACCTTGCCGTGGGCAGGCAGCCTTCGTTTGCAGCTGAAGGTCACCCAGCCTTATTTATGGGAAAGTCCTCCTTATTTATGGGAAAGTCCTCTGCATCTCCCAGGCAGGATCAGCCACCAAAGCCTTACTGCCTAATTGTCAGAACAGACAAAAGACTTCAAAACCAAAGGTCACCTTTTTGATCCACATGTCTGTCATGATGAGCATCACTTTAAACTGTGCAAAATTTCCTGAACCAATTTTTGTTTGTTTAGTCAAGAGTCACTTGGGGATCCCTTGTGGATGTTAAAATAGCTCTTCTCCATATGCCACTACAAACTTTCCAAAAATTGATCAGCCAATTAATGAGATTAATCACAAGGTAAAACAATTCTGTTAATGTAGAGGAAGGAGCGTTGAGGTACAAGTGCTGAAAGAATCAAAAGAGTTTGTGGGATCACCGAAACCTAACGTTACCTCACTGGCAGTTGAGATGTTTCCCATGGCCGTGGTCATTGAATGATTGCTCAGGACTTCACTGGTGGGTTGGAAGTGGTGCTTTTTCTTCCTGCCCCAAACCCAACCCCTGCTCACAGAGTGCTGGTGACCTGCCGTGGCTTCTCGCCTTGCTCCAGGTTGGTTCCAAGTCCTGAGCCATGTGTGCATGGCACCACAAAACCTGGTAGAAAAGCATGTCTTTGTGTTAAACTGAATAGGTAGGCATCATTAATCTCTATCCTGGACTGGGAGAATTCTGGAGAGGGAGGGGGTAAAAAAAATAAAAAGGAAACAAAAATAAAAGGAAGAAATGAAGAGGGTGAGAGCTGTAGCTCCAGCTACATGTTCTGTATGCAACATGCACAGCTGACCTGTTCCAGTGCTCCTAAGAAAACAGCTCCGGAAAGCTCCACAACGTGCCCCAAACTGGAGGAAGTCTTTGCTTTGCTGTGCATCTCCAGAAACAGACAGGCACAAATGATGCATAAGCTGGGAGCAAGCCAGACTCCCTCATGCTTGAATATATTCCTTTGAAGTAACTGACACCCATGTAAAATGTGGAGGGGAGTTCACTACTCTGCCTTACTGCTGAGTAGCTGGAGGAATGTTAAGTTAAATTTATCAATGCTCTTGCCACACTCCTTTCTTCTTGCCCCTTGACATGCAAGTTACAATTAGGCTGTAACGCGCTGTACGGTTCAGGGTGCCAGGTTCAGAGCTGATGTGCGCAGTGGGCTGGGGGAAAGATTTTAAAAATTTATTAGTAGCTGGCAGGGACGTGCAGGCAGGGAGTGGGACATAATGAGGTTTAAGTTCTGGTAATTTAAATTTTCTTTAAACTTAATCTTTTACCTCTGAAGTTGATCCAAAACATTTCCTCAACACTGTCTAGTAGACTTTTGGTTTTAAGACTGAATCTTCAGGTGGTTTAATTCAGCTTTGCTGTGGGCAGGAGCTGAGGGCCTGCCCTTAATTTCTATGTGATCATGTTCTGTAACACTTTGCACATGCACATACAGTCACACGGCATTTTTCAGTAACCATTCAATAGCTGCAAATAAGATATCCCTGTTTCCATAGCTTTTCCATGGAGACAAAGCTTTTTGCATCTCCTGTGTTTACAATAGTAATATAGCTTTTCAATTTCTCTTCTCAGTAAGGTAAGTTCATCTCCCACGGAAGTATTTTTTAATTATTGATACCATAAATGGAAGCGTGTTGGAAACTATTGGCTTTGAAAATAGCTAACATGTGATATTATCCTAGAACCATCAGGAAAATTCTTTTGAAATTCTCTTTGATTCAGCCATCCTCAGGGCTTTATCCTTCTCCACCAGTCTCTCTACTGCCAATTTAAAATAACATTCTCTTGAAATCAGTGCAATGTCAGGAGAAATTCATCAGGACCGTAGGTGCATGTTTCCCAGATGTATATAAACCTACTACATTTGGCAGCAGTAAATTGATTGCATTTAGAAAACCTGTGGTAGCTGAATATTCCATAGTGCCCAGCTTGGCTCCAGCATGGAATATAAAGTATTTTAAGTTTCTTTCAGCTCTGTTTCAGGAGAAATAAAGTAAGAGCTGACTCCATAATTCCTTCCTCTTGATTTACTCAGATTTTCCTCTGACCACATTAGAGGTTTACACACGCTGACAGAGTGAAATATTCCTGATCACTACAGAGTGGCACGGAGATTCGATCAGAAATGTTAATAGCTGTGTATGTGCTTCCCCCTAATATTCAAGCTCTTCAACTTTTAAACAGTGAAAAAAAGCTTGATTTTAAAAGTATTTATCAGACTGATCTATGTGGTGAAATATTCTCCCCCTTTTAATATCTTCAGTGCTGCATGCTCTAAAAATGTCTCCATTTCATTAATTTGTGATACACTGCTACACTGAATTCTTTTAAGGTGGCTTTAGTTTCTGCCATACATATTTTACTGCTTTAAATTATAGATATAGGACTGTTGCCTAGTTAATTTCCTCTGGTTAGGAAAATATATTTCTGCTCTCCTGGTATTGCATAAAATGATATGTGGGATTTGCTCTATTTTTTAGCTGATTAAGTTTTGCATTTCTACATATTACTGCTTATGAGACCTCAAGTAAAACTAAGCAAAGGAAGGAGAATAAGTTTTATAGTA